TTTTTTTTTTTTTTTTTTTTTTTTTTTGTCTTTTGTCTTTTTCCGTGTCCAGCAATGGATCGCAACCCTCAGTGTTGCCCCCGTACTGGACCGGGACCGGCAACGGGATCGCAACCCTCGGCGTTGCTCCCGCGCCTCGCTCAGCCAGTGAGCGGGAACCGGTCTGCATGTGGGATCCGAACCCTCGGGCGGGAGCGCCGCCGCGCTTCCCAAGCGGCGCACTATCCAGTGCGCCACCGGGCCGGCCCAATAATTTTTCTTTTAAGTAGATGTTAACAAGCATTGGTGAGCATGTGAAGAAATCAGAAGACTTGTATATTACTGAGGGGAATATAGAATAGTGCAAACTGTTACATAGTTCGTCATCTCAAAAAATAGAACATAGGATTACCATAAGATCTAGCATTTCCAATTGTCTGTGTATACTCAAAAGAATTTAATATTCATGTGCACAAACACTTGTACGTGAGCAATCATAGCATTACTTATGATGATCAAAAAGTGGCTACAACTCATATGTCCACTGACTGATGAAAGGACAAAATGTGGTGTACCCATACGATGGGATATTATTCAGTCAAGAAAGGAAGTGGTAGTTCTGACACATCCTACCACGTGGAGGAACCTCGAAGATGTCATCTTCAGTGCAACAAGCCAGACGCAGAAGGCCACATACTGTGTGATTCTGTTTCTATGAGATGTCCAGAACAGGCAGCAAGTGCATCAGCGGTTGTCAGGGGCTGGGGAGTGGAAGCGGGAGTGACTGCTAGTGGCTGATGAAATGTTCCAGGACTGGATAGCTGTGATGGTTGCACAGTTTTGTGAGCATACTAAAAACCACTGAATTACATACACTTTGAAGTGGTGAATTCTGTGATACCTGAACTGTGTCTCTGTTTTTAAGAAAAAGCTATCCATTCGATTTGGCGGTTTTGGTGACAGCAGGTTGACAGTGAGGAGTAGGGAGGTCAGGCCAGCACCATAGATAGGCGTGTGAAGAAGACACCTGTGGAGGAGGAAGAGAATGAGAGTCACAGCTGGAAAGGGACACAGGGGCTTCTTTCTTTCCCTTTTCCTCTTTCTTTTTCTTTCATTTTAAGGCGAGTGAGGCTTGTACATCTTTGGGGGCTGAATGAGAGAAGTCTGTTGAGAAAGGCCCCAAACCAGGAGGACATGGAAATGGAATGAAGGAGCTGGTGTTGGGGAGGAGTTTACGCAGAGAAAGGTGGAAAGAGTTGAAATTGCTGTGGATCAGGATAAATTTGCAGACTGCAGGTGGGATGTTGAGGGAGTGTGGGCCTGTGGGCCCTTCCAATGCAAGAGGCACAGTCAGAGGGAGGGGATCAAAAATAGGCCAGAGCTAGAATAATCTGGAGTTGAACCCAAACTTCCTAACTCCAGGCAAGAACTCTCCCTCCTACACTTCAGGCTGGATATATCTCCGTCTCAGAGTGTGCAGATCCTGTGAAGCTTCAATTAGTAAAAATACTTTAGGTCTTTGCGCATCTGCTGGGAGTGGGAACTAGACTCTATGTAGAATACTAAGTCAGTGACTCAGGGATTCCTTTGTAGCTGTGAACACTTGTTCCTTCCCATTGACAAATATTTAAATTCAACTTGAAGTAATTTTATAGAAATTATGTGCATAAGATGAGAGAGGTTTCCAGAGTTGACTACCACACACATTTTAGAAATGGGATGGCTCTTAGAAAACATCAGAGGGCTGAAGTGACTTGCCTGCCCTGCAGGGCCGGATCTGGGCCCAGAATGCAGGGTTCTCCTGCTCTGCCTGGGGCTTCCATCCCTCGCATCGAGGTACACAAGGGCTGTAGGAGAGGACTGTTTGATGCAGTGGACAAATAGGGAATTCATTCAGGGCATACAGGGACAGGACTTAGGGTCGTTCAGGACTGTGCCGCCTCTGGAACCGAGATTGCGGCCCCTGGGTACCCAACTTTTGGACGCTCTCCCCCGCTGCAGTTTCTCTCAGGCTCTGCAGCCCCCAGGTAGAGGCCCAGCCATGCTCACCCCTCCCAATGGAATCTTCAATTGAAATAAGATGCCATAATGTTGGGTATCATAAATCCCAGCCATGTAAAATCAAAATCAGTGTGTTACCTTCAGTTCAGTGCATTGAATACTGTGCAGGATGTGGTTCTAAGGTGGAGTTTAGCTCCGTGAGCCTTTTCTGTGCATCTCTGTGTGCAGGGTGGGCATACAACGCTAAGGAGACACAGTCTCTCCAGAATGTAGTCTCTCCTCTTGCTCTCAAACTTTGTGGAACAGCCCTTAGGACAGAGATATGTCTATTTTTTCCCCGATGGGATTTTTAAAGTTACATTATTTTCAGTCTATAGAATTGTGCAGGGTTGTGATCTGCTGTGAATTTCAGGACCTTTTAGGATGCCGCTTTGTTGCACGGTGTCTCTGAGCTCCTGCCTGCCCTCACCCCTCCTGTAGTCCCTGGTAAGCAGTAACCACAGCTGTAGCCGCACGGTCAGTAGTGCATGGCAGGTGCTCTGGGGGCAGATCCTGGAGAGCTGCAGATGTCAGGTATGCACCTGAGGACACGTGAGGGCATCAGGTGCTGGGTCACAAGGACCCAGGTAGAAGCACCTGTGGGTCCCTGTAGAGCAGGGGAGTCAGGGCAGAGTTTTTGGAGATGTGGAGCTGTAGCTGAGCCTGGATGTGTGGGAAGCGCCTGGTCAGACAGGGAAGCAGAAGGTGACCTTTCCAGGGAGCAGAGCCAGAAGGGGGTGCAGACTTAGCAGCAGCAGAGTCGAGCTGGCCTTGAGTGGCCTTGCCCACGGGCCAGGCACAGAGACTCCATCCCGGGGCCACCAGACCTTACTGCAGTGTTTTGCAAAGTTCTGATGCGGTCAACGGGGAATGGTTTGACCTCGTTCAGTTCCCATGTCTCATCTCCTTCTCCCTTTTCTTCTCTCGCCAACCTGCCGGGTGGGCTGTGCCTCCTACTGGATACAGCTCGGTGGCTCAGGCCCCTCAGAGGGGTGCCATCGTTGTGTGTTTTGAGGGTGCAGTTTCCACAGCTCACAAAGCTACTGTGATAACTGAGAAGTGATGGTAAGTTCTGAAAGCACTTTAATCTGCTTGGGAAAAGTAGCAAGAGCCATTTGATTGCTGGTGTCACTCCCCACCTATGGGGAGGCCTGTGGCTTTGGAGCAGTGGCTTGGGTTGTGTTGCGGCTGGACACTGCACTATCAGGACGAGCTGCACTATGGGGACTTGCAGTGTGGTTGAGAGGGCCGGTTTCAGCAAGCTCTGTGCACAGTGTCGTAAGCCCCAGGTGCATCCTTGACACCCCCTCCCATGACCTTCTCTTGATTTCCTCAGAAGCAGCTGGAGGCCCACCAAGAGGAAGGGATGGTCATCTCTCACATGGCTGTGGCTGGCGTGGGCATTTGGGTCGCCTTCACCTCTGGGTCCACGCTCCGCCTCTTTCACACAGAGACACTAAAGCACCTGCAAGACATCAACATCGCCGCCCCTGTCCACAGCATGCTGCCAGGTGACGGGCATGAGGGGCCTGGAGGCAGGGGGGTGCTGGTCCAGGACTCAAATGTCATGGGCGATTTCTCACTGCTACACGTAACAAGGCACTGGGGGAGCAGGGACCCAACACTGAAGCATGTACAAAGGGACAAGACTCAACTGGGGTTGGGGAGGACTCAAGGGAAGTCCTGCAGAGGCAGCATTTCAGCTGGGATTTCACCAGGCGCCAGAGGACAGAGATTCCCAGCAGAGAGAATAAAATGAACAGCGGTACAGAAGGGGAAAAATGTGAACAGCACGTAGCTACTGTGTGTACACATGTAGCCAGGGCACGTGCATATAGCCAGTGCAGGCATGTAGCTAGTGTGTGTCTGCGTGTGCCTAGTGTGAACAAGCCTGTAGTTACTGTGTATGAGCATGTAGCTAGAATGTATGTATGTGCGTAGCTACTGTGTGTACACATGTAGCCAGGGCACGTGCATATAGCCAGTGCAGGCATGTAGCTAGTGTGTGTCTGCGTGCGCCTAGTGTGAACAAGCCTGTAGTTACTGTGTATGAGCATGTAGCTAGAATGTATGTATGTGTGCCTAGTGTGTGTAGCATGTGTCTGGTATGTATAAGCATGCAGCCAGTCTGTGTAAGCATGAGGGGCAGAAGGGAGGAGGCCAGACAGCATGGTGACTGGGTTGGCCATGTCACCATGTCTGTGTGTGCCACATTGTTGATGTCACTGGAGGTGTTTGAACAGAGGAGAAGGCCATTGCAAATTGAATTTGGGGAAGATCATTCCGCAACAGCTTGTTGAGAGAGAAGAAAGAGGGAGACCAGGTGGGGCGACTCCCTTGGTGCAGGTGGCCCTTCCCTGGCAAGTAGCAGGGAGAACGTAAGAGAGAGAGAGGGAGAGAGAGAGAGAAAGAGAGAGATTGATGTGAGACTCCACTTTGAAAAAGTTAAGGTAAGAGAGTCCCAATTCAGTTGCCTCTTAATTGACTGTATATTTCTAACAGTATTTCAATTACAACAGTCAACAAGCCTAGAGACAACCTGTTAGAAGTGAGTTTGGTCCCCTGTCCATGTAGGCAGTGAATTAAATTGATCAAAGTTATTTGCCAATTATATTCATGCCAGTTTCCTGCTGTTTTGTTTTATTTTTTGTTTTGTTTTGTGATCGTTCAAAGGTACCCTGAGACCATAGTGGGACTGATGGAAATTTTTGTTTTGGTTCCTTTGTTTGGTTGATGATAATGTGGAAGACTGTTTGTAGTTGAAGGGGCAGGTACTAGAGGAAAGGCCTCAGTTAGACCAGGCAGCTTAAGCAGGAGAAACTTATTTCTCATAGTTGCTGGCAGACTGGGTTCCTGGTGACGGCTCTCATCCTGGTTGGCAGAAGCTGCCTTCTCACTGTGTCCCCACATGGTGGAGAAACAAAGAGCTCTGGTCTCTTCCTCTTCTAAGGACACTAATCCCATCATGGGGTCCCACCTCATGACCTCATCTCACCTTCATAACCTCCCAAAGGCCCCATCTCCAAATACCATCATGTTGGAGGTTAGAGCTTCAACACAGGAGGTTGGGAGAGACATAAACATTCAATTCATAGCAGTTACCATTTATGATGTGTTAAAAAAACCCCACAGTAACTGAGGAGTCAACTTCTAGAAAGGGTGTGAAGCTGTCCTTTGACAAGGTGAGGGATGCAGAGGACGGGAGGGAGAGGAGGCAGCACGAATGTTCGTTGGGGCCTTCGCCTCACTGGAGACTGTGGGGACGAATGTATTTGGGGCACAGTGATCAGTGATAGCTCTTCTTTTCCATGAGGCTCACTCTTACAAATCATTGCTAAAATATTGCAGGATATTTTTATTTAGTGAGGAAAATGGAGATTTATGTAACATACAAGTTTATATTTAGAAAGCGAAATGGTTTAGCTTCTGTAACTCAGAAAGCATACCAGCACTTTGCTATGGGACTTGAAGTAAGTGTTTTCGTTTGAGCATACGCTGCTGGGACAACTGTTTGCTGTTGAAATCTGTTGGAGTTGTTGGGAAGAAACCAAGTCACATTCATAGATTGCCAAGGCATGCACTCGTCTGGCCAGTGAGCGTCCTTGTGTTCCGAGTTTCATCCAGGAGGGAAGGTGACGAGGGTGTTGTAAGAAAGAGCCTCCAAGCCCCCAGATCCTGGTTCAGCCACCTGGCAGCGCAGGCTGGCTGCCAGGGGGAGGCAGCTCCAAGGCTGCTGTGGTTCCAGAATTCTGAGAGCCAGCCACAAAGTGCAACAGGCCTCTACGGGAACCTCAAGTCGGTCTTGCTGCACCTTTGGTAGTTACCCTTCTCCAATTATGATCAGAGAGAAACTCACAGTGAAGGGAAGTTCCAGGCAAGTGTGAGTGGAGTTTATATTTTGGATTTGATTTTTTATCAAATTAACTCTTATATATGATTTAATGAAACCAAACAGCATTCACTCCTAGGCTGTGAAAAACAAAGCCGAGCAGAAAAGGCTGTACTTTGGAGGCCTCGCGTAGCCTCGGCTCCATCCCTTCACTCCCACCACTGTCAGCTGCTGCTTCCATGACCCCCAGTGCTGCTTGTGAAATGTCATGCCATGTAGTGGTTTCTTGATTTTTCATTTTTGATACTCTTTTGACTTCCTTTTGTGGAAGTGAAAGGTGGAATCATCATCCATTTCTCCAAGCAGAGAGCACACTGGCAGAAACACACACGCGCACACACCGCTGGCTCCCACCAGTGCCACCCATAAACACATGTGCAGGAGCCTTCTTCTTCCTCCGTGGTTGGTTGCAAATTGTGGCTAAATCAAAACTTACTTAGCATTTATGTGCTTTTGACTGTGTAATTATTGTTTGTGACTGAGCACAGAGTATATCATAATTATGTTTCCTTTCCTTGATACTTTTTCACCCCTTCAGTTAATGATTTCCTTGTTTGTGCCCTGTGCAGTTTCCAAATGACTGCTCACGGGTCCATCCTGAACTCTCCTGCAGAGTGTACTGCTGGTCCCATCAGATGCACGGGGGTGGGGGGTGTGGGGTGGGGGTGGGGGGTGGTCTGTGGCTCCAT